ATTTTACTTTAATTATATATAAATGACACATCTTCATATTATTGTTTGGCTTCTCGTGTAAAAAAATAATTTATTTTCGTTCACTACATCAATGTAACAACATTAGATATTGAAAGGTAATGACAAATATGTACATTTTTATTAATTAACAATGTTGATTTTACCTTCCTAAATGTATGTACTAATATTTTTATTAGTGATCGATGACTAATAACAATGGGTTATGAAGGTGTTAAAGACAAAGCTATAGTTGTTGGTCTTAAGCCTTTACTTCAGACTCATTCTAAGTTACATGCTCAAATAAGCAAAAAAAAAAATAGATATAACATTACGTGTGGTTTAAGAATGGGATTGTAAATGGCGTCGCCTGTATTCACTCTCGCTCGCACACTGTCGCTATCTATACTCTCAAATATAGATAGCGACAGTAAATACTACAAAAAATACCTTGCGATATGCGTTTATCGTACGTCCTTTATCTTCTGTTCATCTCGTCAAAGGAATCAATGATAACAAAATGCCATAATAAAAACATTAAAAAAATCATACCGGTTTTGCTCATTTGTGACCCAGACGCGTTTTTGAGAGTTTTCTTCAAAATTATTGTTGATTTTGTTTGTCATTATTTTTGTGTAAAATATTTACATGACATTAAAACATCAGTAACCATTTTTAAAATTTTCATTTGTCTATCTGTCTGTCCGAGATAAACTTCGGAATGGCTGAACCGACTGTAATAAAACTTCACGAACTAATTTAGAGGTTTTATTAAAATAGAAATATTGATAAGATGAAACAAATGGTCTTTAACGATTATCTTAGGTCTAAGTGAAGTCAAATTAGATCCCACCCAGGCGAAACCAGAGCGGGTCGCTAGTAATAAATGTTATTTTAAAATGAATGTGCCTACTTGGGTATAAAATTCTTTACAAATATTTTCTCATTAAGAGAAAATTCCAATTAACCGAATAATATAATGTTATAACCATATACCGTTATTAGCGGGTTTTCGCTATCGGTACTGTGCATGGTGTTGGTACGGGCTCTATGAACTGCCATTTCTAATCCCATTTGAAAACCACGTTGTCGGATGTAAATGCGTGTTCTTTCACTTAGTTTAGCATGGTTTCCGCGTCACTTTAATAATAAGTAATGTTCTATCTTTCTTTGTTAGTCTGATTTTTTATGTTATAATTTACCACTGCAAATATAATGAAAGCGATCAAATTAACTTCGCATTGCAGTTACATTTCCCCCGTTGTTTCATCTCTCTTCTTCATCTGAAAAAATCTAATTAAGACAGAGACCTGTACATCATATTATCTGCTATATATTTACTACCAAATTTCTACATAAGATAAGTACTTAGTGATATAAATATAATAGTGATAGTAATATAATATTATAACTAAACGAGTTGAATGTAAATTCAAGAAAAACAACTTCCTTCTGCGTGAATCCCATCTCTGGTGCCCTTTGACCTACAGGACCCAAATTCAAACTCGACCGAGCTACTACCTCAAGGTATCCACATACCAAATTTAAAGTCAATCGGTCCAGTGGAACGGAAGTTATCGTGTCGGCATACAGACTAACAGACTGCTAGCTAAAACCATTAACTTCCTTTCAATGCTACGCAGAAGGAAGTTAATAAATCAATTTTTAACTTGTATGTAAATAAAAAAATTGAATAAATCAAAAAAATTTAAACTAATTATTTACGTACTTATACTGTAACTGAAATATTTTTTTTTTTTTTTTTTTTTTTATAGGATGAGGGTGACAAACGAATATGTTCCAAACATTTAATTTTTTTAACGTTATGTTGGCAATATAGTATGTTTATGATTTCTTTGGCACATTAATAACTTGAAATGTCTTTAAAAGTATCAGCCTCGCTTACTTACAATTTTATATACTAAGAAAATATATGATGTGATAGTTAAAGTGTAAACATTTTACTTACTTTATTACTTGGTACTTATTTTATTTATATAGCAGCCTGGTGGATTAATTAGTCGTTTATTTTAGACGACAAGCCTATTAATTTATCGTTGCTAGACAACTTTGTAAAGTGAAGTGACGGCGTATGAGAATCAGCTAGCCCATGTCATCTCGTGGTGTCGTTGAGAGGCGTTGGAGGGAAATGAAACAGATGGTATCTTTTTGATAATAAATAAAAAATAAAAATCAACGGCTGCTAACCCTAACTAAGGCATATATAATCTTATTATTCCAGTCTTATGACTGTAATGAAAGAAATAATTAATTAAATCGCTAACCTTTTAATATGTTAACAATAACAAATATTCAACATTTGATCTAACTGAATGCCAGGTCTTTAGTTATAGTTTAATTGGAAGCCACCAAGAGGTTAAACTTTAGTACCTTTTCTTACCATCGTGGCGCTGACAATCAGTCTAACAAAATTACTTAAATGGGTGGTGGAATTTTACTGATGCATGTACTTTGTGCATCTTTCAACGAATGAAATGAATTTTCATACAAATAAATAGATTTAATTAAATTTGGATGCAGGTGGCTCAGGATCTCGCTTTGTGGCATTCCTTGGGGGAGGCCTATGTTCTGCAGTGGACTTGCGAAGGGGTGTAATGATGATGATGATGATGGATTAAATTTGAATTATATTTTTGAAACCTACTACTTATGATGACTTTCGAATAGTTTTTACGAAAACTATAAATTCCGTTCAATCACTGGTTAGCCTCATACAAAATCAACGTTAAACGATTTTATTAAGCTACCTTTATTCTTGAGTTATTTAATTGAATGTCGTTTAACAAACGTTAGACGACATACTTATTACAGCCACGCTGCAGCTAAATTATGATTGCAGCACGTGTAGGTCGGCTTGACCGGGGAAGCACCACACTCTCACAGAATACTAGCGTGAAATAGCAGCTTAATGCTGCTGTGATCCGTATGGTGAGTGTAGAGAACCGGAGACCCTTTTTACTGGAGAAGAGGCATTCCATCTTAGTCCTTAGGGGTGACAACGCATCTCGATTTTCATTTTTAATTTTTATAATTTTTAATAGAATATTATATAAATACTCGCCTAATTAAACCTCCAGGCTGCGACATACTTTCAAGGACGTCAATGGTACCAAAGTTCTGTTGACAAAATTGACGATACAAAAATGCCACAAAAAAACTGTACAAAAGACACTCCATAAAAATACTGTCATGTATCCAAGTGATATTCATGTTTATTAATAAATATTATAACAACACTTCTACTTTAAATTTGTGAAAACACAATTTGAATTTATAATTACTAATAATATTCATTTTAGAATTATAATAGTATGTGATCATAAACATTTTGTCAAAGATAATTTTAAAAAGCTGCCAAAGAATTATCACCCCTAACAACCACCTGAATTTTATACTATATGTAGTTGTATGGAAAACATAGTATAATTATTTGGTACATATGCGTAGTAAAAAAGAAATTTATCTAATGCCACTGGCAGTAAAGACATAATAATGTAACAAAATATAACGTGCGGAGCTGATTAGCAAAGCATAAATAACAAAAGAAAAGAAAGAAAAAAAAAACCAAAAATGAAATGCACAACCCAATATCGGGGCTTACTTTTATTGGTATAAATTATTTTACATATAACAATACATTTCTTAAAGAGGAAAATGATCACAACACTCGTAATAAAAAAAAAAACGATAAAGAACTTATTTTTTTATATCTATATTTACGTATTACTACAGAAATTTAGAATCATCCCACAAAGCTGGACCATCTATAACTGTACTGTAACAATGGTCATACAGCATAAGACCGTAAATTTTTATACATCGAGCTTTAAAAAGAAACTATATAATTTAAAATTTAAAATTTTGTACAGCCGACTTCAATATAAGTTAGTTAAGAATAACTCAAAAACTATTGGTCTGACCTTGATCAAATTCATATGGGACCACACGAGAGTTTTTTAAATCAGCTTTCATATAAAAAAAGAATCATCGAAATCGGTTCACCCAGTTACAAAGTTATGAGGTAACACACATAAAAAAGAATACAGTCGAATTGAGTACCGTCTCCTTTTTGGAAGTCGGCAGAAAATACTCAGCTATAGTAATTGGCAAGCTGTGGATTTGTAGGGCGTCGCCTCTATCACACAAAGTAACACTTACCATCAGATGGCCGGTAAGTTCGTTTGTTACCTTAGTTTCGTATAAAAAAAGGCCAATTTTCTCTTTCTAAATTCGATGAGTAACCTTTACGGCCTATAACTGTACAAATTTGACAATTTTAACACATTTGTGATGTTACGTTTTCAAGTGAAATTTTCCACAACTAAAAATAATACGTATTATAGATATTTGTAGTAAGAATTTTATTAACATCAGTTTCTTAGCAATAATACGTATAATCATTACGCTCTCGTATCATACGATTAAAGAATAAATAATTGATAGTCTCATACACACATTTTCTTGCGTATTGTATCACAAAGCATCACTTCTACTTTTGTACTAAACGAATCGATAACTGTTTTTATCTTGCTTCGATGAAACATATTTGACGATATTTAGTTGAGCCGTATAAAGAAAAATTTCGTCTTTACTTAGATTCGAAATAGTTGTTTTTTCGAATACTGTTTTATGTTTAATATTTCACAAGTTTCTCTGAACCCTGCATACAGGCTCGAATTATTTTCTTCGTGTACATAAAATGGTAGCACAAAAATCATTAATATAGCAAACGTTATTAACGTTAACAGTTTGTAGTTATTCATCATATAATTAAAATACATTTAGCCTGAAATATCACAAAACAACATTTTGAATTTAGAAGAACCATCTTGAACAGTTTAATTCACTAAACTGATTGATTATATTTATTATCATCGAATTACACAGAACAAGATATTCAACTTGATAGGTTCTTTTAAAAATGTACTTTTTTCACTGTTTACTAATCGCACTGTTGAAGACGATATAGCGTTAATATTGAATTATTTACTGATGTCGCCTTTAAGCGCGCGCTCGAGGACAGCTTTCGAGGCGATCTCCACCGTCACCGTTTTGCTTATGGTGGACAATTGACCTTGTTCACCGTGTGGCACCTCCGTAAGTGGTTCTGTGAGTATCTTTAGTGAAGACACTTTTGCTCGTTGATACGCTATTATGGTGTTTATACTCAGGAATCTGTAAAGAAAGCATTGTGTTATTTTTTTTGCTATACAATTTTTTTATATGATAGGGTGACAAACGAGCACACAGTCCACCTGATGGTCAGTGGTTGCTGTGGCCCATAGACATATATATCTATCCTCGTTTGCGAATCAAAATGCAGATGCGTTGTCACCCGTGAGGACTAAGATGGAATGCCTCTTTTCCAGTAAAAAGGGTCTCCGGTTCTCCATACGAAACACAGCAGTGTTAAGCTGCTATTTTACGCTGGTATTCTGTGAGAGCGTGGTCCTTCCCCGGTCGAGCCGACCCATTCGTGCTACATCTATACTACTAATATAGCTGCAGCATGGCTCTACCACGTATGGGAACAAGCATTTACACTATTTGAAAGCATTGTGTTACTTTATACACTATTCACTGGAGACCTTTTTTACGGGTAACGAGGGATTCATCTTAGTCCTTAGGGATGACAACTCATAATATACATTTTGATTCTTATCAGAATAATAACTTTATATTATGCACAGCACGCGCACGACGGGCGTGGGGAACAGCTGCACGAGCGCCCAGGCGGCAGGCGCAGTGTCGCTAGTGCTGTACCTGACGGCCACGTAGCACACGAGCAGCGCGCCGCCGGCGCACAGCACGCGCACGACGGGCGAGGGGAACAGCTGCACGAGCGCCCAGGCGGCAGGCGCAGTGTCGCTAGTGCTGTACCTGACGGCCACGTAGCACACGAGCAGCGCGCCGCCGGCGCACAGCACGCGCACGACGGGCGAGGGGAACAGCTGCACGAGCGCCCAGGCGGCAGGCGCAGTGTCGCTAGTGCTGTACCTGACGGCCACGTAGCACACGAGCAGCGCGCCGCCGGCGCACAGCACGCGCACGACGGGCGAGGGGAACAGCTGCACGAGCGCCCAGGCGGCAGGCGCAGTGTCGCTAGTGCTGTACCTGACGGCCACGTAGCACACGAGCAGCGCGCCGCCGGCGCACAGCACGCGCACGACGGGCGAGAGGAACAGCTGCACGAGCGCCCAGGCGGCAGGCGCAGTGTCGCTAGTGCTGTACCTGACGGCCACGTAGCACACGAGCAGCGCGCCGCCGGCGCACAGCACGCGCACGACGGGCGAGGGGAACAGCTGCACGAGCGCCCAGGCGGCAGGCGCAGTGTCGCTAGTACTGTACCTGACGGCCACGTAGCACACGAGCAGCGCGCCGCCGGCGCACAGCACGCGCACGACGGGCGAGAGGAACAGCTGCACGAGCGCCCAGGCGGCAGGCGCAGTGTCGCTAGTGCTGTACCTGACGGCCACGTAGCACACGAGCAGCGCGCCGCCGGCGCACAGCACGCGCACGACGGGCGAGGGGAACAGCTGCACGAGCGCCCAGGCGGCAGGCGCAGTGTCGCTAGTACTGTACCTGACGGCCACGTAGCACACGAGCAGCGCGCCGCCGGCGCACAGCACGCGCACGACGGGCGAGGGGAACAGCTGCACGAGCGCCCAGGCGGCAGGCGCAGTGTCGCTAGTACTGTACCTGACGGCCACGTAGCACACGAGCAGCGCGCCGCCGGCGCACAGCACGCGCACGACGGGCGAGGGGAACAGCTGCACGAGCGCCCAGGCGGCAGGCGCAGTGTCGCTAGTGCTGTACCTGACGGCCACGTAGCACACGAGCAGCGCGCCGCCGGCGCACAGCACGCGCACGACGGGCGAGGGGAACAGCTGCACGAGCGCCCAGGCGGCAGGCGCAGTGTCGCTAGTGCTGTACCTGACGGCCACGTAGCACACGAGCAGCGCGCCGCCGGCGCACAGCACGCGCACGACGGGCGAGAGGAACAGCTGCACGAGCGCCCAGGCGGCAGGCGCAGTGTCGCTAGTGCTGTACCTGACGGCCACGTAGCACACGAGCAGCGCGCCGCCGGCGCACAGCACGCGCACGACGGGCGAGGGGAACAGCTGCACGAGCGCCCAGGCGGCAGGCGCAGTGTCGCTAGTGCTGTACCTGACGGCCACGTAGCACACGAGCAGCGCGCCGCCGGCGCACAGCACGCGCACGACGGGCGAGGGGAACAGCTGCACGAGCGCCCAGGCGGCAGGCGCAGTGTCGCTAGTACTGTACCTGACGGCCACGTAGCACACGAGCAGCGCGCCGCCGGCGCACAGCACGCGCACGACGGGCGAGGGGAACAGCTGCACGAGCGCCCAGGCGGCAGGCGCAGTGTCGCTAGTGCTGTACCTGACGGCCACGTAGCACACGAGCAGCGCGCCGCCGGCGCACAGCACGCGCACGACGGGCGAGGGGAACAGCTGCACGAGCGCCCAGGCGGCAGGCGCAGTGTCGCTAGTGCTGTACCTGACGGCCACGTAGCACACGAGCAGCCGCCGCCGGCGCACAGCACGCGCACGACGGGCGAGGGGAACAGCTGCACGAGCGCCCAGGCGGCAGGCGCAGTGTCGCTAGTGCTGTACCTGACGGCCACGTAGCACACGAGCAGCGCGCCGCCGGCGCACAGCACGCGCACGACGGGCGAGGGGAACAGCTGCACGAGCGCCCAGGCGGCAGGCGCAGTGTCGCTAGTACTGTACCTGACGGCCACGTAGCACACGAGCAGCGCGCCGCCGGCGCACAGCACGCGCACGACGGGCGAGGGGAACAGCTGCACGAGCGCCCAGGCGGCAGGCGCAGTGTCGCTAGTACTGTACCTGACGGCCACGTAGCACACGAGCAGCGCGCCGCCGGCGCACAGCACGCGCACGACGGGCGAGGGGAACAGCTGCACGAGCGCCCAGGCGGCAGGCGCAGTGTCGCTAGTACTGTACCTGACGGCCACGTAGCACACGAGCAGCGCGCCGCCGGCGCACAGCACGCGCACGACGGGCGAGGGGAACAGCTGCACGAGCGCCCAGGCGGCAGGCGCAGTGTCGCTAGTACTGTACCTGACGGCCACGTAGCACACGAGCAGCGCGCCGCCGGCGCACAGCACGCGCACGACGGGCGAGGGGAACAGCTGCACGAGCGCCCAGGCGGCAGGCGCAGTGTCGCTAGTACTGTACCTGACGGCCACGTAGCACACGAGCAGCGCGCCGCCGGCGCACAGCACGCGCACGACGGGCGAGGGGAACAGCTGCACGAGCGCCCAGGCGGCAGGCGCAGTGTCGCTAGTGCTGTACCTGACGGCCACGTAGCACACGAGCAGCGCGCCGCCGGCGCACAGCACGCGCACGACGGGCGAGGGGAACAGCTGCACGAGCGCCCAGGCGGCAGGCGCAGTGTCGCTAGTGCTGTACCTGACGGCCACGTAGCACACGAGCAGCGCGCCGCCGGCGCACAGCACGCGCACGACGGGCGAGGGGAACAGCTGCACGAGCGCCCAGGCGGCAGGCGCAGTGTCGCTAGTACTGTACCTGACGGCCACGTAGCACACGAGCAGCGCGCCGCCGGCGCACAGCACGCGCACGACGGGCGAGGGGAACAGCTGCACGAGCGCCCAGGCGGCAGGCGCAGTGTCGCTAGTACTGTACCTGACGGCCACGTAGCACACGAGCAGCGCGCCGCCGGCGCACAGCACGCGCACGACGGGCGAGGGGAACAGCTGCACGAGCGCCCAGGCGGCAGGCGCAGTGTCGCTAGTGCTGTACCTGACGGCCACGTAGCACACGAGCAGCGCGCCGCCGGCGCACAGCACGCGCACGACGGGCGAGGGGAACAGCTGCACGAGCGCCCAGGCGGCAGGCGCAGTGTCGCTAGTACTGTACCTGACGGCCACGTAGCACACGAGCAGCGCGCCGCCGGCGCACAGCACGCGCACGACGGGCGAGGGGAACAGCTGCACGAGCGCCCAGGCGGCAGGCGCAGTGTCGCTAGTGCTGTACCTGACGGCCACGTAGCACACGAGCAGCGCGCCGCCGGCGCACAGCACGCGCACGACGGGCGAGGGGAACAGCTGCACGAGCGCCCAGGCGGCAGGCGCAGTGTCGCTAGTGCTGTACCTGACGGCCACGTAGCACACGAGCAGCGCGCCGCCGGCGCACAGCACGCGCACGACGGGCGAGGGGAACAGCTGCACGAGCGCCCAGGCGGCCGCGGCCGCGCCCACCACGCTGCACACCGCCAGCACCGTGCGCGCCCAGTGCGCGCTCGTGAACCCGCGCTCCCACTCTACCCTGTGTGTGCAAGTCATGCTTTTTTTTAATTTCTTGTAGTTTTGGACACAAGACCTTCAGCCAAAAAGAAAGGGAAGGTCGCGTTATAATATTTTTTTTTTAATTTTTATGGCTCTGGACACAAGACCTTCAGCCGAATAGAAATAGATAGTAACGTTTCAGCTAGTTCAGTTTGCTTATATCCATTCACTACACCTCATTCCATTTCATCCTATAAAATTCCACCTCTTCATTTGTTTCCCCCTGTCTCCTCTTACGACACCCACGGGATGATATGAAGGATAATGTATATTCTTACACCACTACAACACGGTAGTTTCTATAAATTTGCTTCCATAGTGGAATGGATTCAGAGAACTGATAATAAAACACACAGTTTGGTGTTGCAGCTACAAATCTATCATCTATATCCAAAATTTAATTACACAACTCGATAGCTCAAGGATCAAACATGCGTTACGGGCATTTTGGACGCCGCCATTTTGAGATTGTTCAATTACGTATACGTATTCACGTAAAACATACAGATGTGTCAGCGGCACAACTACACCCCGATTTTTTTTGTCATTTATTGTGGCATTGGATACAAGGCTTTCAGCCAAAAAGACTACATCAAACACTTTAATTTATTTTATTTATTTATAAATTAATATTTTCAACTCTCTTTTTCGCATTCGTCATTGATAGACTACATATATACGCCGTGTGTGTAATAGGCAGTGGACACTTGCATGTTTATTTTATTTTATTTATTACATATTGTACATTATCCGAATACATTTTAAATAACTTTTACTAAATAATCGAACCCGCGAGAGACGCACGCATTTTTTTGTTAGTGGTCGTGTTACCTCTAAACTTCTATTTACGCTAGTTCCTAAATTTAATTACAAAATGCATTCAAAAACAAAAAAAACTTATTCATATTATGACAATTACAACTTTTTGAATCGTTATATCTCAAAAACGGTTGCTCGTAGGAAAAAAAGTATTGATTAATTTTTTGTAGATAATTTTATGATCTACAATTTTTATCTGAGGTATTTTTATGATAAAACTTACCGTTTTGCTGAAAATCACGACTCATTTTTTTGAACTTTGACCTTAAACTTTCAAATTTTATTTTTAATTATATTTTAAACAATCTTACTGATTGGTTGGTGGGAATTTAGGCAGCTTTACTCTTATTTTTAGGTCTAATTTGACCGGACTATGTATGCTCGTTTGTAACCCTTATTCTATAAAAAAAAAACAAGGTATCAAGCTCCACCAGGCAGGTTCGTAAACGTAGAGCCATGGTCAATTTTTTCAAGGAATGGGTTATTTGGCGCATATTTAGATGTACAAAGATGGTTCTTAGATCTAATATAGATAGCACTAAATATCTTACCTGTTTGTCTCTTGAACAATATAAGGCGTGTTACACACTTTGCATTTTAAGCCATCGGGTGTTGTAGCACTCTGAAAAACGAAATGTTTTTTGTCAATAACAATAAACAAACTTTCATTTAGAACACAGATTTAGTACTTGATAAGTAAAACACTTTTTGGCAGAATAATTATTTATTTATCTATCTGCTATCAAAAATACTTTTTTTTTACTATAATAATCCTGTGCTTAACTACTATCCCAACTGATGATAAGTGGTGATGTAGCCAAGATGGACATATTCGTGAAGTTTTATTACAATCAGTTCAGTCATTCCGAAAATTAGTTCTGACAGACAGACAAACGAACATTTTAAAATATTTACTCATGTCTCATTTCGTATATTTTATACAAAAATATTAACAAACAAAATCAACAATAATTATAAAGAAAATTCTCAGAATGCGCCGTAGCTCACAAATTATTAAAACCGGACTGAAATTTATTTGTAGTTCATGACATTTTATTATCATTAATTCCAATGACAAGTCGGACAGAAGTTAAGGAACGTACGAAAAAGGCACATCGCAAAGTATTTTTTGCAGTCTTTACCGGTGGGCGTGAGTATAGATAGCGATAGTGTGCGAGCGAGAGGTGAATAGAGGGCACGCCATTTTCAATCCCATTCTTAACCGCACGGGTAGTAATTCATTGCTAACTAGCGACCAGCCCCAGCTCCGCATGCGTGGGATCTTTTAATATTAAAAAAAAAAAAAACAATAAAAATCTAAGGTTTTTGGATAAAATATAGTTATGATCACTGTTGGCATTGCTCTCTATCTATTGAAAAGTACTCGGCCTAACCAAGAAAATAAACAAATACTAAATCAGTTATATTTTTATTTTTCTACATAATCACCATCAAGTTCAATACACTTTTGCCACCTCCCCTTCCAAGCATTTAGACCGTTGAAAAAAAATGATTCTTCCTTAGAGTCAAAATATGCGTCTACAGCTGCTTTGACCTCGTCGTTTGTCGAAAATCTTTGACCTCCCAAGTGCTTTTTTAGGTTAGGGAACAGAAAGAAGTCTGATGGTGCCAGATCAGGTGAATACGGCGGATGCGGTAACAGTTCAAAGCCACAGTTGTGAATTTCAGCCATTGACTGTACTGACGTGTGAACACGGGCGTTATCTTGATGAAACAGGACTTTTCTTCTGAGCATTCCTCGACGTTTTTCTTTTATTTCCTCTCGTAAACGACGTAGTAAGGTGCAGTAGTAATCAGAGTTTATATTCTGACCCCTTTCAAGATAATCAATCATAATCACACCTTTCGAGTCCCAGAATACTGAAGCCATCACCTTATTTGCCGACAAAATCGACTTAGCCTTTTTAGGGGGTGGTGAACCAGGTCTTCTCCACTGTTTTGATTGTTGTTTTGTTTCCGGTGTACAGTAATGAACCCATGTTTCGTCCATAGTAACAAAACGATTCAAAAAATCATCTGCATCGGCTTCAAATAACTCTAAACAGTCGCGTGAAATAGTCAATCGCGTCCTTTTTTGTTCAACTGAAAGCAGTCGCGGAACTCACCTCGCAGACACCTTGTGGAAACCCAACTCGTTGACAATGATGTTTTGAGTTCGTTCATAAGAGATGCCTATAATCTCGGCTATCTCTCTAATTTTTAATATGCGGTCTCCCATTATTAAATCAAGTACTTTTTTAATATTTTCGTCAGTAGTTGACGTCGAAGGCCTTCCAGAGCGGGGTTCATCTTTCACACTCTCTCTACCACGCTTAAATTCTGCTATCCATTTTTTGACGGATGAATATGACAGAGCACAATCGCCTAATGTACTGACCATGTCATCATGGATGGCTTTTGATGATAGCCCCTTCTTATGGAGGTACTTAATGACGGCACGCTGCTCGATTTGCTCCATTCGCGGAAATTATGTCCGATTACTTTGTTAATAAATTAATAAAATCACAACTAATTATCGCACACGTTTCGAACTTCACACAATGAACTAGTCTCAACTGAACTAAATAATGTGGGTAGATTTGATTTTTAGAATTGAATGGATCTGTGTTAGGCCGAGTACTTTTCAATCCACCCTCGTATTTGTGAAGTTTTGTCATAATCGGGTTAGCCATTCCTAAAATTAGCCCCGACAGACACACAGATAAAAAAATTACAAATGATTATTCATGACTTCATGGCATGCAAATAACCCTCAGATCTCGATAAAAGCCGGTTATTTCAATATTACAGATAGACAATTCAATTTTATTTTTAAAACAAATTTCTAAATTCAAAATTCTTTATTCAGTATATTATTTTTTATATAGGAGAGGGGGCAAACGAGCATGCGGCTCACCTGATGGTAAGTGACTACCGCCGCCCATGAACAACTGCAACACCAGGGGTATCGCAGATGCGTTGCCAGCCTTTTAAAAAGGAGTACGCTCTTTTCTTGAAGGTCCCTAAGTCGTATCGGTCCGGAAAAATCGCTGATGGTAATCGATTCCACAAGGAGGTCGTGCGAGGAAGAAAACATCTTCTAAATCGCACAGTGGTGGACCGCCAATCATCCAGATGGTGTGGATGGTATCGGGAGTTCTGCCGCGATGTGCGTTCGTGAAATTTGGCGGCTGGGATTAATCCGAACAATTCCTCAGAGCACTCCCCATGGTAGATGCGAAAGAAAATGCAAAGGGATGCAACATCTCTTCGCAGTGCCAATGAATCGAGCCGATCGGAAAGGGCTCGGTCGTCGACAATTCGAGCCGCACTGCGTTGGATGCGGTCAAGTGGAAGGAGCTGGCACTGGGGAGCCCCTGCCCAGAGATGGGAACAGTATTCCATGTGAGGCCGAACTTGCGCCTTGTAAAGTAGCAGGCGGTGTGCCGGCATGAAATACTGTCCCGCTCTGCTGAGCACGCCAAGCTTTTTAGAGGCCAATTTGGCCTTCCCTTCCAAGTGACCACGAAACTGCACGTCACTCGATATGTCGACTCCGAGGATACCGATACTGGCTGAGGCAAGAAGGGGAGTGCCTTGAAACTGAGGAGATACGACAAAGGGGTTCTTTTTAGCGGTAAACGCGCAAACTTGTGTCTTCTGAGGATTAAATTGGACTAGATTTAGTCGCCCCCAATCCGAGACTTTGTTCAGCAAAGACTCGACTTCAGACACAAGTTTGTTCCGGTACTCGGCGACGTTTTCCCGAGAAATATTGGCACGGCCGGTGTATAGAGCATCACCAGTGCTGTCATCCGCATAGCAATGAATGTTACCAGTTAGCAACATATCATTGATATGCAGAAGAAACAGCGTTGGTGATAGCACACAGCCTTGTGGAACACCAGCGTTAATAGGCTTGTAGTCAGAGCATGCACCGTCTACAACGACCTTGATGCTCCGATCTACAAGGAAGCTGGTGTTCCAATTGCACAATTTTTCGGGAAGCCCATAGGAAGGGAGCTTCGAAAGAAGCGCTTTGTGCCAAACCCGATCGAAGGCCTTCGCAATGTCCAGACTAACGGCCAACGCCTCCCCCTTGGACTCTACTGCCTCCGCCCATCTATGGGTCAGGTAGACCAGAAGATCACCAGCTGATCGACCCCGACGAAAACCGTATTGGCGGTCACTAATCAGCTGGTGATCCTCAAGGTACCGGATGAGCTGGTAGTTAATAATGGATTCCATTATTTTGGAGAACAAGGAGGTGATCGCGATAGGCCTATAGTTGGATGGGTCTGAGCGGTCGCCTTTTTTAGGGATCGGGTCGACAAAAGCTGTCTTCCATGAATTCGGGACTACGCCTTGGGAGTAGGAGTACCGGAAAAGACGCGTTAGGACCGGTGCCAACTCCGGAGCACACGTCCTCAGCACAATTGGGGGGATTCTGTCAGGCCCACTCGACTTCTGGAGAGCAGTGCTTTGCGAACCGAGCGCTGTGAGAACAGCACATCCGGCATGGAGCACTCACACCGCGGGATGGTCGGCGGTGTTTTCCCCCCGTCATCAAGAGTCGAGTTGGACGCAAAAAGGGAGCCTAAAAGGTCGGCTTTGTCTTTTGCGTCATGGGCCAGTGAGTCATCCTCCCTGTGCAGAGATGGTAGTGATGGCTTACATATTATCTCCTTTTAAAAGTATATCTTTACCTGAGTTAGGAGACCCCGCTGTTTCATAACAATTTTTAGAAACCTATAAGATCGCAGCCATAAAGATTAAACGTGTATGCGTGCGTGTCTATGTGCGTTTGTATGTTTGCGTAAGTGCGTGCGTGCGTGCGTACGTGCGTATAGTGCGTGCACGTGTATTATGTATAGATATTGGCAACAATTCAATGTCAACAGTCTTAAGAATTCTAAACAGCAATGAGTTGAATAGATAGGCTACCTCAATAAGCCACCGTCGTAAGCAGTCGTGGTGCACGGCGGAGACGTCGCCGGTGCACCTGCACGGACGGATGAGCGGCTCGTTGCGCGCGCCGTCGTAGCAGATCCAGCAGTCGCGACCGGAGCTCACGCTGCCAACCAACGAGTCGGTTTCTACGTTCTGGAAAACGGACCGATTAGGGCGCTGTTATTGTTATTTGATAGTCACAATTTGTGTGTCACTGATGAGTCTGGTACTGACATCGTCAATTCACCTGCCATGTGTAATGCTTTAAAACAAATCCTAGACAGAAATCCCTAGTCCAGTTTGTATTTTTATAACTGAACTGAAGTGGCAATCTAACATGGAGAACGCCTGATGGTAGGTGGCTACTGCAGTCCATAAATACCTACCACAAACTTCAAACAAAAAATACTACAAGTTGTGTTGTCACTAAAATGGGAGTGCCTCATAGCCTGTAATCACACTGGCTCTCTACTCGGACAGTCACGTAAGTACAAGCACTGCTATTTGACAACAGAAATACGAAAGAATGTGGTGCTTACCCAGACGGACCACTAGGCAGAAAGTAAGACTTACCATGTACAGCAGTGGACTTTTTCTGAGAAAGAAAATGAAGAATATAATAACATTTAAATAAGGTTTTCTAATGATATTTAGATAAGCTGAAAACAAAAGAATTAAAATGATAAATCGAATTTCCGAACGCATGTAGTAGAAAATCTTATGAATTCTAACGAAACCTTATTAACTTCAATCGATTCCCTAATACAGAACTTACCTTCGTGGAAATCTGGTTCACATTTCCATTCTCCCCATTACGCCCTTCTTCCAACGGCTTCGCCTGAACAACGACAGTAAAAACGACGCGCCAAACCAACCATCGCCAGTAACGATATATCTTTACAACCAACCAAGCCCTGTCGTCCCATCGTAAATGTCCAAAGTTCACCAAACTCTGAGGATTGAGAGTATAGAACCGTATATGGTTTTCAGTGAAACAAGTTTAAATGTGAAACTGTAACATTAAATTTATTGTCAAATTTAAATTACACTGTAACAACATATTAATAATAAAATGGATAAAAATCGTTTAAAACCTGATAAACCTGAAAGTCCAAGCTATCAATTATTATTTTTAAATAGCAATAAACAGCTTTGAAAAACATCCCAAAGAAAAGCCAACGACGCAAAAAAAAGAAACACTTACCAAAACCTTCAAAGCTGATCCACCTTGCTAAAGCAAAAACATACATATTTACATTCATAAGTTGATTTTTGATTACAATATTATGGGATTTCTTTGATAACTAGATAACCAGATAATAAGATATTTTGATATCAAGCTTAAACCAATTCACTCGAACAACGACTTTACAGAACAAAAGCAGTAGCATTTAAGCTGAAGACTTGGACGACCTTCAACCAAACTGGATGACGATGACAATGGAAGAAACCGAACTACACTGGGAGTACCATGGTCCTCATGAATTAATTGAACTATAAACATATTCATCGGTATGTATATAAATATCAATAATAATAATTAACGCGTAAAATAAAATTTAAATCACCCTCGGATATTTAACAGTCCACTAGTGAATACAAAATTCATATTTTACGTTTTCGGCATTGGGTAACAAACATTTAGCAGGTGAATTGTCGTACATTGAAAGATGACAATGGAACAATGAAGCAGGAAGCGGCATTTTTCTGATAATAACCGAAAATAATATAAAAACTGCGGTTGCCAAACGTTACAACTTGGTCAAATCTCCTCTATGAGGCAGTTTATGGAGGAAGCCTATGTTTAACAGTGAACTTTTGACAGGCTGTAATGAAATAATGAATAAATGGATGTTTTACTAGCATCTCGAACTGATAGTTTTATGTCCTACATTAGAAATCTGTTAAAGTTATAAGGTAAAAATGACAAAGTGAAGGCATACATTACTCTATATTGTCCCGTGGCTGTCGTAAGAATCGACAATAGGAAATGCCAGGAATATCTCATGGCATCTGACAGATGACGTCATAACATTTTAATTAGACATAAAATATCTAGAGACATTTGATACTGCCATTGCGTATCTGCCTGCCAAGCATTGTAAATGTTTAGAAAGGGGCCTAAATCCAGTAGGTAGTGGATTGTTTAAAAGCTGTCATATATAATGCTTGTAAGAACACGCGCATACATTCAGAAATATATACACATCCCCACTTATATAGCCGTACATGTCCATACGTACTCACACGTACACGCACGCACTGGCACGCACATAGACGTACACGTACGCACTATGCGTGCGAACTATCATGGCCGGGATGAAGTTAGTCGCGAGTGGCTGCGCCGATGTTTTTAGGAACAAAATGATGACAAGAAGCGGGGAGTGTGAGCGGTAATTAAGGTTTTAAATTTCTTATGATTAATTACACCACTCTTTTTTATTGGTCATGTCGTTTCAATAAAGTGATCATGATAATGTGCATTAAGTTTCTTATTACAAAAAAAAGTTCCTTTAGGGTTACTGAAAAAGTTGTTATCCGCGCCAATTACGTATTTACTTTTTACTTATTTAAACTTTACATCGTAATTATTTAAAAGATACTATTATTTCATTGAAATACATAGATATATTTTCTTAATAAACATAATCTTCAATTTATTCTATAATAGATATAGTAGACGAAACAAACTGTTTTAAGCATCCATACTAGCTCTCTATCGACGTCCCGCCAGTCCTTATATGTGCGAATGTCCCGGAGAGCCAAGTTCAGACCGGCCAAGATATAACGCGTGGACGTGAAGCCGTCACTAACCTTAGCATCATGATGGTGTGCCAGCAGGTCGGCGAGGCGGGCGTCGTCGAGCTGGCGGGCGAGCAGCCGGCGCGGGTTCAGCAGCCACAGCCGCTCCGGCGCCATGGAGTTCCACAGCACGCACGGGAACCATAGCGCGACGCCGATCTCCGCCAGACGGAACACCACGTCGTGCCAGTTGCGCGACACCACCGGCACCCTGCCCACAGACAAACACCACACAAATTATTACATTTTGCGATTGATATTATATTTGGGGAGTGGCAGAGTAAGCAAGGAAGTTTATCGGTCAAATTGGAAATACTAAAGATAGGCCAAATTAAGAGTACCATTGAAAAATAATTGGGTATACTCGTAGATACATGGATGTGAAATAATGAGGGCATCTACGACTTCAGGGCAGCGCCACTTAAGCGGGGAATTCACTACCAGACGGCCCACGAAGGGCCGCCCGTCACGGGCAAGTCTGTCCCATGTCTGCTCGTGATTGCTAGGTGGCGGGCACGGGCAATTTTGTTGGCACAGACATGTCTGAAAGTGAATGGTCGCGCCGAGCGGCCTGCATTCACGCATCAGAGTGCGATCAGAGCGCATGTTTATTTCGAATTGTTGTATTGACGTTAACATGAAAGAAAATAAACAAATTTGGCAATCTTTCAATCCAAAAAACCAATCGCACCCTTGTTTGTGAAAAATTAAAAGCAAGAAATATATGAATAGCGACCTAAGAAATGTCGAATTAATTGAAAAAGTGAAGGACATCCATGATGATGTCGATCTGGCATCCGTTAAAAACAAAATAGAATCCATGAGGAATTGTTTTCGTCGTGAGCTATAAAAGGTGAAGCAATCGCTGAAGACGGATTCATCAGCAGATTCCGTATGTGAACCAACTCTATGGTATTGCGATCTGCTACGTTTTTACATCCGACCAAGAGGAAGCAAGACACGAAACGTCTTCAATAGCTTCACCCGTTTCTACGATCGAAGACAGTACCAATGATACATTCGTAAGTCATCATTATTAACTATTTATTTCTAAATGAACGTACAAAAATCAAATGCTTTTTCTTAAAAAAAAATATTAGGTAAATACATAAATACGTAAACAGCTCATACATTTGCTCATGTGGGAGGGCCAAGGCAAAACAGTTTAGGTACCTATAACTATTTACTCCGTATACTACGATTATTGTAAGAGGCACTACTCAAGTTTACATAGGTACTTATTCTAATAAAATGTAAATTGTCGGACACAATTAGCTAAAGTGATTAGACAACCATATTATTTTGAAATTCTTCTTGTTCTTCTCCATTATAATAGTTTGTAAAATCTTGTCTAACCCTTTTACCTAACTCATCACTATTGCATCCCCTATTCTGTAAGCTATTAGCTGATGATCCTCTTAACACCATTCTCCAAAAGCGATAATGTGATTTTCATTTTCGTGATCTACACAACGCATAGTTAATTAACCAGGACTTTTTCGTCTCAAAAAATTGTGTAGAACACAGCAAGCTACTGACTGAATCAATGCTATTTAAGTCTGCAAATTACTCAAACAATAATATTCTAAAACGACAAGGCATTATTCCGAATGCGTTTTCAACGACACTTCTTGCCCAACATAACCGTTAGTTAAATATTTTTTCTGCCCTAGGGATGTTAATGTTCCTGCGGTATGGTTTCATAACATGTTCGATCAGTTGAAATTACTCATCTATAAAAACATATGGAGCACAGATTTGTGAGGTTTGCAGGGAGAAGAATATTTAATATAGGAATAGTTATTAATTTTATCATGAAAGTCTGTCTCCTGAATAACGCCTCCGTCAGATTCGTAGTTTGCGTTAACAATAGCAAACAATTCAATACTAAAGTACGATTTGTAGTTGAAATAGTTGGAATCCATTGCTCCCAAGCAATGTTCGAAGTTCCAATTATCTACAAGACCACGAGCTACTTCCAACCATTCTTCAACAGATGTCAGAAACTGAAACGAATACAAAAAAATATATTTTATTACTTTTTGTTTACAGATACAACCGAAAAACCCAATCACTTCTTCAGAGGTTTCAAACTTCAAACCAACATAAACCAGCAAAAAATAAATCTACAAAGAACTCTCTCTGTTTAGCTTAAAAAGTTTTTAAATATTGAAAGCAGTGTACTACTACTCCCGAGATACAAAGAACAAGCATTCGGAAATAGCCTTTGTAATGATTTAGAAAAAATTGAAGAAAAGCGTGAATAATGGCAAAAAAACTAATTGGAGACATTCTATATGACGGTAGACTGGGAAACTTGAACGAGCAATGTAATATAACATTAAATACCCACCAATACTTGTTATACATTACCCGTACACGATTCAAATAGATACAATACAACCAATTCCACAACAAGAATCATCAGCTACGCAGACATCATCAACAGAACATCGTTCTTTGCGTCCTGACATGCATTCTACAAGATTTTGCAATACATGACTCTGAACTGCAAGGTTATATACAATTTAAAAAGCAATGAATAAATCTTATCTTAACATATTCGTTTTTTAATGCCTTAAATAATTCCCTGCAGGTTTCAGGTATTATTTTTCCCACTAGTTGAGGTGATATCGCACAAGTAAATTTCATATATGCATACGAACGTATGCATATATGAAATGTATATGGAATATATGTATATATATATATATATATATATATATATATATATATATGGAAGAACTCCCAGTAGCTAAATATCTTAGTGTGGCAGTTAATGTCTCTCTGGCACTAACACTTTACCTCATCTGAGTGTTTTTTCTTTCAATCGAAGGCTCTATTAATTGGAGTAAAATCTCAGTTAATTGTATAAATCTCCTGGTTCTTGAACCTCCAATTCTTTCAATGAGGACATATGAATGTACCAGTTCTTGCACCATACTCTTTTCCTATTTCTTTCTTCCATTGCAATTACACCACCAATTATGGCAAGTCTAGAGGTTCACTCTCAGAGGGGTGGGTGAGAGGTGTAAAACTTTATGTATTATGTACATATGTTTATGTCATTATGTGATATTATATCGGATATTATACTTTTCTCTGAGAAACTCTTTAACAATTTGAGTATATTATTATCAGGCTTCTAGTTTTATCCACAACGAAGTTATATGGTTTCGAAAATGGTCTGAACTGCTTCGAGAAAAGGATGGTACGGCCGTGCCGCTTACTTGCTCGACTTGGCGAGGGCACTGCCGTGCCCCCAGATTAATATTATTTCAATGTCAGTCGCGTTTCCGCATATGAAATTAACCTATGAAAACAACTACAGTATACCATTCCAGCTGTTTTAATACCGGTGAGATTTCTTATCTTTTTTACGGAAATAACAATAATATTTTTATTCTGCAGAAGTAAATAATATACTCACAATTTTATATAAATGCAATTCGCCCGTTAGAAATTCGTGTCAATAAAATCAATAAAAACAGTAGATTTTACAAGATCGATTCACTTAAGAAAATATTGATATTAAAATATTTAATTTAATATTTATTTATTGTACATGTAATATCATTTTATTTAATTGTCGTTTAAATGCACATTATTGACATTAAACCAATGTACTAGTTTAATATACCATAATTTTACTTCTATTCTACTCTGTATTATATTGTATTTATTCTGTATTGTATTGTCTACTGTATTGTAATTTGCCGATTATACTTCATAGATATTATGTAAGTCTTATAAGTATTATAATAAGTAAGTAAGGATTCTGTCCTGCTGTATGGGACTCCTCGACGAGTAGAACTAGGTGTGCCGAGATTGTGCTCGTTATGTTGGTTATGATGTGAACTTACCCCGACTTGAAGGTGTACTTCGGTGAATGCTACTGGAACTCTTCGAAGAGTAGTAATAGTAATAGGTGTACAGAGTTTGGGCTCGTTTTGTTAGTTATGATGAGACCTTACCTCCGAACAGTGGCGGATTGTCCCTTAAGGCAAACTAAGCACGTGCCTAGGGACGCAAGGTTAAAAAGGCGCGCGTGGTAATGTTTAAATGAAAAATAAAATCGTATTTGATTATTCCTAAATCGCTCTTACTCTTCGTCACATTTTTCATTTATGCTCCCCTGTTAATGGTACTCGTATCCTAATTATTTTGCAATTATTAAACTATATTATAAATTATAATATAGATTATTTGCAAAATGAGTATATTTAATTTATAATAGATATAATATGGCCTCTAGAGGGGCGCCGATGAGGTGCTAGGCTAGCCTAGGGCGTAGTCGACGTCTCTGCCTTCGGACTTGATAAAATGACCTGAAAGTGTACTTCGATGAATGCTACTGGAACTCCTCGAAGAGTAGAACTAAGTGTGCCGAGTTTGGTCTCGTTTTGTTATATATGATGAGACCTTACCTCCGGACTTGAAATAGTGATCTGAAGGTGTACTACGATGACTGCTACTGGAACTGTTTGACGAATAGAAATCATATGATAGTGAAATTTTATTTTTAATTTTTTCACTATCATATGAGCACTATGAGTCGTGCACTTTTGAATTTTCCAAACTTTTTTTTAATTGAAGTTTGACATAAAATAATGGGAAAATTGGAAGTACAGTAAATAAGGGATAGAGTTCCGTTTTCTGGACGCCTCCGATTTGGACCAAATTTTTTTATTTACCAACATAAATGATGAAAAACCCCAAAGGGATTTTTGGCGCAAATGCCCCTGAAATTTTTACGAGGGTTTGAAGTTTAAGATTCTTAAGGCAGTTTTTCATTATAAATCGACTAAACCTCACTTTTTTACACAGGAATATTGACCCAAAGTTACTAAGTCCATCGCCCCATTTCGTACCGTACATGTACGAAATGGGTAGATGGACTCACTTACGCCGCACTCTCAAATCATATCTATTATGTCTATCATCATCATAACAAAATCCATAGGACGAAATGAGTAAGAGTAAGGGATGGATTGTTTAAACACCAAACAAACAACTCTAAACAGAAGTCGTTAAAATGCCAGAAACTTACTTGGTCTTCCAGAACTCGCTAAGAGTCTCCGAGGCCAGAAATCCCGCGATGAGGATGAGCATCAACGCCTGGCTGACGAGGCCAACTCGCGATTGATGCAGCTGCGAGTGATTCACAGAGCGCGGGTCTACAGAGCCATCGCGATCAGCAAGGTCGGTTTGTATGCCCTATAGACAAACATGCTCTTTGAAAATGGATTTAAAAGAAATATTAAGCGACTTAAAATCTGTTTCAAATTTATGTAACATCACAGTGCAGGTATAATTTGATTAAAACTCAGGAATATAGGGAGAATTAATAACGGACAAATTTTATTACATACATTATAAAATATGCACACTGGGCAGAGCAAGATTAGTATTTGGAATTTTTTAGTAATTGTGAAAAAATTGATTAGTGTAATTAAAATAATTGAATTACCTATGTACTTAAATGATTAATTGAATATTAATTAGGGATATAAATCATTTAACAAATAATATTTATTTTTAGTAATTTAATAATTGAAACTTCATAAAATAAATAGTTAAAAAAATATATATTGAAGATTTTTGTTTTATTATTCTGACTTGGAATTAGAAGCACAAAAACAGTTCTCACAACGCATAAATTACGTTATTTTTGTGGTTATTACCGGCGGGTCTGAGTATAGATATCGGCAGTGTAGTGTGCAAGTGAGAAGCCATTTATAATCCCATTTTTTTATCTACGCCAGTAGTACATACATACAGGTCAAGGTAATAAAAGCGTGTTAAAAGAAGAATGCATGGATCATTCATCATCTGCCGTGTAATGATGTATCCAGCACTGTAGTTATCGTAAAAGTTGACTAAGGGCTGTTTTTTTAATCAAATTAATAAAACATAAATTAAAAACAACAGTTGTAGGAATAAAATAATTCAATAGTCGCACTTTTACATTTAGTTAGGTTATAATTTATTTGATGGATAACTATATCCGACGATTAAAATATCGGCCATTAATAAAATGTCCAAAATGCTTCAAGCCTCTGGTTGGTTGGCAAGATTCTAGATTAGAAAAGATATGTTAACATATTCTTTACATGCATACAATGAACTTGAAAATAATGATGACTCTTATACAGTTTTAATAAAATATACAAAACAAAATTAGAAGTATTAGGTAAGCAACAGATTAACTAATAAATTACTAAAATACAACATAATATGTAACGAATGGCGGTCATGATCAACTGCTATTCGAACAGGACGGCAGCTTATCTAACTTCCGACTCGTAATATCATTTATGTGTAAACGAATTAGCATAAATACGTATGTTTGTAATAGAATAATTATTAGTTAGGTCTGGCGTTAAAGGATTTTTGATAGAAGTGAAGGTAACAAAGGTGCACACAATCCACCTGATGGTAAGTGGATACTGTGATCCGCAGACTACCTATAATCGATTAACAATATAAAAGCAGATACGCTGTAGGACTGAAGACTATGATAGCGTGCCTCGCCACCGGTGGAAAAGGTCTCCCGTTCTCTACAATCGCCATACGAAACACACTATTATGCTATTTTCCGCTGGTTTTCATTGCTTACTGACAATATATCTTTATATTTAGGATATTGAAAGGAGTGGGTAAAGTTTTATCACGACTATAAGGTATTTTATGACTTGAGCAGTATGTAGAAAACAGCCTAGCCGACTGCTAAGTATGGCATTATCTCGAGTTACGTACGCGAGGTGATATATGAAAGAAGTATTGCCGTGTAGTGACGCCGTAAGAGAATCTACCCCATGACATCTCATGTATTTGCAATATTAATACTTAATTACTTAAATGGAAACACTATATAAAAATTGTTTATCTTGACAACAGTCAGAGTGTAAAAATTTGATACAAACTGAAGATTAAAATATAGAAATCAATAAAAAATACTTTCATTGTTACCCTATAGCATGCTGTGCTCGGTGCTGCGCTACAAGCACCGTGGGCACAGATTAAATAATGCCATGGTTGTCATAAGAAGTGACAGAGGGAAACGAAAACAAGAGATAGGCAGCAGAATCTTTCTGATAACAGCTCGAAATAATCAAAATCTGCGGTTGCCGACCCGCCTTCCAAAATTACAAGGGGAGGTATACGATTAAATATACTTTAATGGGTTGGTAGCTGTTACCTTTCTAGTTTGTTTCAATAGCCGTTTCCTTACGTATAGTTAGAAGTAGTTACACAAAAAGATCCAACTCACAAATATTTTCTATTAGGCCACAATTCTTTTTTAATATTTTCAGTTTATATTTCAGGGGTGACGACGCGACACGACATCCGAGTCTATGGACCACAGCATCTACTAACTTATAGTAAGTGATTTGTCATTCTTAATTCTATAAAAAAAATGTGGAAAAGACACTGTACTTGTTTAGTGACGAGCGTGTCCTGCACGTCGTCGCCATCGGCAGCCGTGGAGGGCCCCGGCCGGGGCAAGATGATGGTACATACTTTGGTTTCCTTCAGGAACTCGCCGCGAAGCTAAAAACAAATAAAAAATAGATTAAAAAAATAACAAAACATCTAAGAGTACTTGGGGCTCGTCAATTTACTACCGCTAGCCTATCATTGCGAAATTCTCCACTAGATTTATCTCCTTGTTGCAGATCTATGCAATAATTTATATATATAAAAATTACGTGTCACATTGTTTGTCCGCGATGAACTCCTAAACTACTGATCTGATTTCAATGAAATTTTGCACACTGTGTGCAGTTTGGTCCAACTTGAGAGATAGTTTAGTCGTTTTAGGAAGGATTTGCCTTACATCGTCATTCTTAGCAAGTAGATTGACGATAGCAATACCACAGATGTCTCGCAATATTGACGCTGCTTACCGGTGCTAGTCTATGAACTTTGCAATTTTTTTTATAGGAATAGGGTGACAAACGAGCACACAGTCCACCTGATGGTAAGTGGTTGCTGTGACCCATAGACATCTACATTTATCCTCGTTTGCGAATCAAAATGCTGATGCGTTGTCACCCGTGAGGACAAAGTTGGAATGCCTCTTTTCCAGTAAAAATAGTCTCCGGTTCTCCATACGAAACACAGCAGTGTTAAACTGCTATTTTACGCTGGTATTCTGTGAGAGCGTGGTCCTTCCCCGGTCGAGCCGACTCATTCGTGCTACAACTATACTAATATAGCTGCACCATGGCTCTACCACGTAAAAAAACATAGGGTATGTAAACGTAAACGAAAGTTATTCGTCATATTATATAATCATACACAACATTAGAAATAGGTTGGATTAGATTTAGTTCACATTGGATTTTAAAAAAAAAAACAAGTTATAGTAAAACACTATCATAATAATCATATTTACAGGTCATCACTAATCCACCATTGAAAATGAGTTTACTTCATTGACCACAAATTATTGCAGTGCATGATCCTGAGCAATAATCCCAACCTGTTTCATCAGGTCATCATTGCCACTCGAGTAACTGTCTTCCCATTGATTCTGCAAGTTGTATGGCCGGGCATATTCGTTAAGGATTTTATCACGCCGAGAAAGTCCCAATATGGCCGGTCTCTATAGTTCGCTGTAATTTTGACTTTCCTCATACTGTTAGCCGTAAAGAACCATGACGGAACCGTTAGTAATAAGTAAAACGCTCTGGTAGAATGCTTTTGTTTTAACAACTTCACTGTCCACGAAATACACTCAATAGTTGAATAATCGAAATGTTCATTATGACATACGGAACAGGTCTTCGGTTCACATCTTGTTCGAAGTTGGTGGTAGACTAGTGGAATTTCGTAACAATATTTTAAGCGAAATAGTCTGTGGCATTATATATGTATGTACAACAGATCATTTCATATTTCATAACGCCGTAAAATTATTACAAAGTATCGAATTTTAATAAATATGCCTACTTCTTTATGAGGCACCTAAGGAGGTGCCTCATAAATATAGATTTATTATGTTTATAGAAACAAAACTACTAAGCTAGCTTAGTAATATAGTTGCTTTTTATGATTAAAATAATTTTTAATCGCTTTTTTGATTTTTTTTATAGTATAAGGGTGACAAACGAGCACACAGTCGACCTGATGGTAAGTGGTTGCTGTGGCCCATAGACATCTACATCTATCCTCATTTGTGAATCAAATGCAGATGCGTTGTTAGCCGTAAGGACTTAGATGGAAAGCCTCTTTTTCAGTAAAAAGGTTATCCGGTTCTCTACACTCACCATACGGAACACAGCAGCAATAAGCTGCTATTTTATGTCGGTATTCCGAGAGAGCGTGGTTCTTCCCCGGTCAAGCAGACCCATTCGTGCTATAACTATACTATTAATATAGCTGCAGTATGGCTCTACCACATACAATATTCGTGGTTTGTCCACTCTGAATTCTGTATGTAACTGAATTTAAGATCAAAAACGAAATACTATCATTGAGTGACCGTATCCACAAATCGTCCGCCATACTGACTTTTTTCCTCAAAACTAAAATTCTCACTTCGTACCTGTACTGACAGAGACTATAAAGAAATATACATACATAGAAGAAAAGTGGAAAAACACTGTTTGAAACGGGCTTCTTTAGATGAAAATATGTGTCTTTTTTATTTTTATAATTCTTGGTCCTATTTTACATAGCCATTATATTATATTAAAATCGTAAAGTATTAAAAAAAATCGATAAAACGACAACCACACAAAATGCCTGATACATTTTATTTGAATTAATAATTTAAATCGACTTGTTTTTGTAACGAGGTACTCCGTAATGTCTTTCGACACAGTGAACAATTAAAAAAGCGCACAATTCGATGTCATTTCCCTTTGTAAATTAAAAGCAACAACAAAACAAGTCAGTTATAGAGCATTAGCGTTTCCTTGTTTAAAATTCTTGAACCTTTTTTGAGTATGTATATATCGTATGGCGCAAGAGAATCAATCCATCACGCAGTTTGTTCCGTGGATGTCGTTAGGAACGAATATATGCCATACCGTTGCCAATACAGCCTGTCAAAGTTCACGGATGAACATAGTTCTCCCCCATAAATTGTCGCATAGGGGGACATTGTTGCCAGGGGTGAGGTGGTAAAAAGGTCATTTTTTAGTCATTGTTAGGTAGACGCTGCTGCCCATCTGCTAGTTTATTTTCCTGAGTCGCCGCTTACGACATCCACGTGACGACATGGGATAGTGGATATTCTTACACTGCCACTACACGATGGGATATGCCAAAGATATTATGATAATGGGAGTAACGACAGAACGGAGTCAACGTTTTTTTTTTAGGATAAGTGTGACAAACGAGCACACAGTCCACCTGATGGTAAGTGGTTGCTGTGGCCCATAGGCATCTACATCTATCTTCGATTACGAATCAAAATGCAGATGCGTTGTCACCCGTGAGGACTACTGCTATTTTACGCTGGTATTCTGTGAGAGCGTGATTCGTCCCCGGTCGAGCCGACCCATTCGTGCTACAACTATACCAGTAATATAGCTGCAGCATTGCTTTACCACGTACAAACATGAGAAGAATATATCCAGCTGTGGAATTGTAGGGGCTAAAGAAGAAGGAGAAGAAGCATATATACAAATTAACTGTCTGGCTGTGTGATCTGACTGTCTGGCATCTGTTTCATTCGACTCAAACTTATAAATTGCATCTACGAGTAGAGCCAGCAGCAAATTTAGTTCAAGACCTGGTCCATTAGATATTCTGTGGGCTTGCTTTAAGGCGGCAGAATTTGAGGGGTGAAAATATTTGAAAAGGTCTTTATATTCTAAAACAAAAGTGAGATTACAGTCTACTATAAGAACTCATTTTAAAACCTATCTTTTATACTATTCGGTTTATTTGACAAGTAGTATTTTCATAAACATTTACTTTAAGATTCGACCAAAAAATATGTTATAAAAGATGAGCCATTCTTATACAGCTAAAGGGTCGGTAATGCTTAATGGTTTAGCTCTCGTGTAGCAAGGCCGCAGAATCAAGCAGGAATCGCGTTTCTGCGGCATACTAATAATTGTTCCATTATTATAAAATGTAAAGGAGGTAAGGCGTAAGGAAAAATCATGAGGGAAGCTGAGAAATTTAAAACATCATTTAGATAGGGTGGACTATAAATTATTATTAATACGGAAGGAGTGTAAGTATACCGGCGAATACGGGGCAGGAGACACTTGAGTTTAGTACGATATTGTAAGTCATGGTCATATTTCCCCTAAAGTTAACATATAAACACATTTTTGCCTCCAAAACTATTTTAATCATATATATTATTAAATACGCTACAATGTAACACAATAAATATATTATATATATATATAGAATAAGGGTATGTAGCCTACCGTGTTACTGAGAAGGTTATCTTGATATATCAAATATATTGACATCTCAATGAGATGTCAACTAGTTTGGCGATTTACTCACATGTAATGCCTTTAGATACCGCCACATAAACAAGATTTTATCACAAGCGTTGACATCATGGCTTACTATGAATGATCAAGATCGCTTTGTCCAAACGACGAGACTTTTAAACGTGGTACAGCAATGCTGCAGCGAGTTATGGCTTCAGCACGAATTCGACTGGGAAGGGACTATCCCACAGAATACCAATATTAATTAGCTGCATAATTCTCTAGAAAGACAAGAACTATGTACTCATTTACTGGCCTTAGACGAGGCATGTCTTAGGGTGACGTCATATTTTGATTCTTAATCGAGAATAGAAGTAGATGTCTACAGGCCACCGCATCCACTTACTAACAGGTAAAATGAGTGCTCGTTTGTTACCATTTCTTGCATAAAATAAAAATATATAGGAGTTATTTTATATCAATTACTGATATACCAAGTCTGAAACTAAATCGTAAAGTAATACGCGCAGTCTCCGTTATACGAAAATAGAATATCAAAATATATACAGACTACAATACAAACTCTTTCTCCTTGTCCTCTTTCTTTGAAAATCATTTTTGTTATAGCTGTTTGCTAGTGAAACCAAAAATCTTTTCACACTTTATTACTTTGAGCTCAAACATATCCCGTCATACTTTCCGTTCTTTTTTGTATTAGTTCCTATCTATCCTTGAATGTAATCATCTTGTGGTATATTGATTTTTTTGTTTTAACAATATCGAGTAGTGGCGACGTAAGAATATCTACGTGGGTGTCGTAAAAGGCGACAGAGGGAACAAATCCGGACATGGCAACGTCTTCCTAATAAAGACTAAAAATAAAAAACTGCGGTGTGCCAACCTGCTTGAAAAGCGTGACAAATATGGAAAATATCCCCCTTATGAGTCAATGTATAGGGGGAGGCCTATGTTCAGCATTAGACTAATAAGCTATAAGGGTAACTTTCTAATATTAATAATAGTTTTTTACGTGGTAGAGTCATGCTGCAGCTATATTAATAGTATAGTTGTAGCGCGAATGGGTCGGCTCGACCGGGGAAGGACCGCGCTCTCACAGAATACCAGCGTAAAATAGCAGCTTAA